GGTTGCAAATAATGTTATTGATATAAAATCAATATCAATCATTTTATATCAAAATACATACAACCCCATTTTGTTTGTGATCTTTTCATATTGTAATAAGAGAAAGAAATGGAATCCATAGTTTCTTTAGTTTGGGTTCATCTAATAAGTGAAGTTTCTTGAATCGTTTTCTAAGAATTTTGGATTATATACATTTATTAGCATATCACAACATCTTGTAGTTTTCAGTTTTACACAGATATTATTTTTATATTAATTCGATATTGTTTTGCGGGCTGTTTTGTCGTAATTCACAGAATTTCGTAGTTCCTTGCTAGAGCTAGGATAAGTGGTGATTTGGCAGGTGCGATATCAATTTGGAACTTCAAAATTCCATGGACCATGTAATTAAACCCGGAAAACAATATCGATCCAATATTTTAGATTATTCATTTTCAAAGGGTTTAGAATTTTTTGGGCTCTCTTCAGTTAAAGAATTAGAAGACATTCATGGATTGGCACTTTGTCCCTTGTTTAAGCTTCTAATACCTCCAATGGTCATTGTGAGCAACTTTCATTCATCATTTTATACAGTTTGATCGATGATACTAGCAAAACTGTTAACGGCAAAATTGCATTCTGCATTTTACAAATAGAAATTATGTTTGGAAAAGTACTCTAAATTAAATACAAAATGCTTTTCCTAAAAAAGGTATTTTGTATTTTGTATTTGCATTTTAAATGCAAGTATTTCAAATAAATCACATCTCTGATTGTAGGGTAATTGTTTAAGCGTACTTGGGACAGAGTGTAGTATTTGTTATTCGTTTGAGAAAGGGTAGAAGCAAATCAAGGGAAGCGTTTCGTGTTCGTGTTTTATCTGCGAGAAACATCGGCGTGTAAATGGCTCGACAGGTATCACTTACCGTAACAGAAGTGGTCCTTCAAGGCCCTCGGGTGCCTCTCAAGACAGCTATTTCACCTTTTATACAAGCGAAGATAACGATCGAACAAGTTAGAGCCGGGATTAAAGAAACTATATAATTATGGAATTACACGCGCATAAAAGAATCCGAGTCAAAGTATTAACGATGAAACGGCGCCTAACGAACACAATTTCAGTTATGTGACCGATTATTATGGATACCAGTGGCGTATATTTTTGACCTGCTGTTTCTGCTATTTCTTATTATCTGATTATTAAAACGCCTAGTTAGACGATGAAGCTTCGCCTTGGATATTGTCGGAATTTTTTAATTTTTATTTGACGGTTGTAGGAATATAGATAGGACGTGATTCTAATAGGGGTTTCCGACCAAAAACATAATAAACGATTCAGTTAGGCAACTTGATACCTTTGTGTTACGGTCTTGTCTAACTCATGAAATACTTCAATAGCAGCAAATACCCACCAGATGGCGATGTACTACCTATATATGGATAAATAATGTTATGGTGTAAAGGAACGCCATGATTAAAATGTAGGTGCTATACACTTTTGTATTAAGGTCTTGTCTAACTCATGAAATACTTTAATATCAGCAAATATCCACTAGATGGCGATATTCTACCTATATATGGAGAAATGCCATGATTAAAATGTAGGTGCTATGTATCTTTGTATTAAGGTCTTGTCTAACTCATGAAATATTTCAATAGCAGCAAATACCCACTAGATGGCGATGTACTACCTATATATGGATAAATAAGGTTATGGTATGAAGGAACGCCATGATTAAAATGTAGGTTCTATACACTTTTGTATTAAAGTCTTGTCTAACTCATGAAATACTTCAGTAGCAGCAAATACCCACTAGATGGCGATATACTGTCTGTAATTGGATCAATTAGGTTATGTTCTGGAGGAACGACGTGATTAAAATGTAGGTGTTATGTATCATCGACAAGGGGTTATACTGATCAGTGATCATTTATAATGGACTAAATTTGTTGTTGTAGTTTTCTTTAAAGGGCATGCCTCCATTTTTTTTAGCTTTTTCAATTGCAATTGACACAAAAATATCTTAATGTACTAATCAAGTTTAGGAGCCATATAATTAGTAACTTATAAATTACCTATCTATGAAAACCTAATTTAGGAAATACTACCTTCAGCTGTGATATTTTGAGGGTTACTTTGTATTAACTTTTCTGCCTACACGTAAAAGCAAAGTGCTGTAATATCCAAAAGCTTCTTGTAAACTCAAAACAGAAGTTTCTGTGTATTTGTACGTATTATTTTCGAAGAGCTAAAATAATACTCAAAGATTGTACGGTGAATTTCACAATCTACTACAATTTTATATCAAAATTGACGAACTGACTCATTACAAATTCAAAGAAAATATGAAATATGTGTCTCTAATTTCCTCGTTCCTGTTTTCTTTGTTTTTTATTTCTTTTACGTCACTGCTGAAAATAAAAACGAAAAACATTTGCACTTTCCTTTCATCTATATTTATTATTATAAATAGAAAATAGAATGTACTATTAAAAAAATATGTGTAGGCGTTTATAAAATTGGGTTTTAATGAAAAATCCTTTAGTGCCTTTCTAACTCGATATTTTACGTGCGTCCCTGATATAGCAGCTTATGTAGGCATGGGTATGTATCCATAATAATAGATAGGTTGATTTCCATAATACGGATGGAAACCCGCCGTTCTCCAAGCTAAACGAAATAATCATTTTTGTTTTCGGGCTAAATCAGATACCTAGATTATATATATATA